CCCTCCCTCCCTCCTTTTCTCCCTTCCCTCCCTCCTTCTAAGCATGTCCTTGGGTGACAATTAAAGAAAAAGGATCCCCAAACAAAGATAAACATGAGCATGCACATGGTTCCACTGGACATAATTAGGTGCTTTGTGCACCAAACTCTACCAGTGGTTCTCAACCTTGATGCACAAAAGCCTCCTCTGGGAGCTTTACTCACCAGACCCTGCATCCAGAGATTCGGATGGCACTGTACAAGCGGAGCTGAGAGCCATGGTCTGATATGCTATTAAGTCTAATGTCACATTAAAGAGCAATTTGCCTTTGGTTATTTTACCTCCCTTTGACTTTTTTCTCTGAAACTAAAATTTTAGAAAATCTGAAAATATTTTGATATGTTTTCTTCACATACATAGCTATTTTATAAAACTCCTTCTATACTATAATTTTGTATCTTGCCTTTTATTTAGTAACTAGAGGCCCAGATCACAAAATTCGTGCATGGGGGTGGGGGTCACTCAGCCCGGCCTGCACCCTCTTGCAATCCGGGACCACTGGCTCCTAACCGCTCGCCTGCCTGCCTGATCGCCCCTAACTGCTCCCCTGCCTGCCTGATTGCCCCTAACTACTTGCCTGCCTGATCACCCTTGACTGCCCTGTCTGCCTGCCTGGTTGCCCCTAACCGCTCGCCTGCCTGCCTGATCGCCCCTAACTGCTCCCCTGCCTGCCTGATCGCCCCTAACTACTTGCCTGCCTGATCACCCTTGACTGCTGTGTCTGCCTGCCTGGTTGCCCCTAACCACTTGCCTGCCTGCCTGATCGCCCCTAACCGCCTCTGCCTTGGCCCCCACCACCGTGGCTTCGTCCAGAAGGTCATTCAGCTGTCCGGTCTAATTAGCATATTATGCTTTTATTATAATAGATTAATCATAAAATTTCCCCCAAAGAATAACATTTATTCTTTGAAAACGTGATTTTTAATAGTCCTTAATGTTTTATATGGTAAATGTTCATAAGTAGTTTAGATTCTAATACTGAAAAGATTTAATACTCATTTTATATGCTTATATTTGATGAACCATTTGAACTTTTAATATAAAGTTCTGAGAACAAAAGAATTACAGAACAGTGACGGATAGAGTTCTGGCATAGCATGTCAACACATAAAGGCAAATTATAAATGAGCCTACTCTAAAGGCACAGACAGGAAATGAAAGTGGGTGGCATGAAGACGTTAAAAGGTGGTAAGAATCATGGCTACAAAAGTTTTCAAAAGAATATAAAATAGGCATTTAAGGGCAGTTTAGAGAAAACAAGGTTGAAAACAAGGCCCTACCCATGAAATAACTGAAAATCTAGTTAGGGAGAACTAAAAACAATTAGTGGCATGAAAAAGATATTAGCATGTGAAATTGTAAGATAAATGGAAATAGAATAAATGGTACAGGAGTTTAAAGGAGTTCAGAAAAGGTAAGTATCCAGGAACAAACAAGTAAACAGCAGTTACTAAACTCTCCCTTGGAGAAGAAAAAGAAAGTCAGTAATATCATTTTGTTTATGGCATTCTTTCAGGACCACAGTCAAACTCCGACACTGAAAATGTTACTGAAATATTGACTGCAAAGGAGAAATATTTATCGCTGTCCTAATTACAAAGAAGAGTAACACAGGCAAAAGGAACCAGAACTACATTAGGAGACTGGAGAGGCAAAGCACAGAACCAGGTTTAATAACAAATGGCTTTAAACTTAGAGATGTAAGGTAATTTGCTACCTTAAGCTGTTAGGAAATACTTGCTACTACACATTTTTCATAACTCTAGGTAAAAACGGTAGTAAAAGTGAAGTTACACTGAATCTCAACTAAAATACTTAGAATCACCCATAATGAAGAAGAGTATCATAATTCTAAAATAAAATGCAATTTAAGGAAGCCCGGGTATTAGAGAAGGAAGACAGGACTCCACATGTTCCCCGTAAGCTATGGCGCTGGCACACCTCCCTACCAAGACCCAGAGATGGCTGTGCAGATTAGCCAGCTGCGAAGCAGGCAGGCAACCATGGTTTTTACCTCGCTTTCTTCTCACAATGGAAACTTTAAAGATCCTAAGGAGAAACTAATCTTTCCCATAGATTTCAATATTTTAATTAGTTGTACCAAAGACAAATGCAGTTAATAGTCTGCAATTCCATGCAAATGACCCAATTTAACAGTAAGAACGTTTGTTCCACTGATACAGCAGCAAACCGATTATTTCAAAAGGAATATTATTCTGCAAATGAGGAAGAAGAAAAATCCAAAATGAAAAGGCATGAAGAAAAGTAAATGGCGGGGGAGACACACCAAAGTTACCAACTTCACTTCCGCTTACAAACCTCACGAAGTAGCTGGATCCAATTAGCCCTCCACTGTAAGCAAACATAAAAATTGGGCAAATACAGGAAACTACTCTTTTCATACATAAGACAGAACAGGCAGTCCAGACAGTGACCTGTAACAGCTGGAAATGAAAGTGAGCCATGAAAGCCCAGCTTTCTCCAGGGGCACCCGGAGGAAAAGGCAGAGACTGAAGACACAGTGGGGAAAGTGGGGAAACCAAATACATTGTTCCAGCAACCCTGACACCAAAGCCATAAAGGAGATTGGAATGTTTTTTAATTTAGAAATATCAGGAAAAAACTAAAAACCAGTATCCCTCATGAACATAGATATAAAAATCCTTAAACTATTAGCAAGTCAATTCCAGCATTATTAAAAAGCACAATACACCATACCTAAGTGGAGTGTATGTTAAAAATACTAAGTTAGTTCAACACTATCAATCAATGAATTACCACATTATCAGAATAAAGGAGAAAAATCCTATGACCCATCTCAGTAGATGCAGAGAAAGCATTAAGAAAGTAATTAGCCAAACTACAGAGTGGGAGAAATTGTTTACAATACATATATCTGAAAAAGGACTTGTATCCAGAACACCTCTCTTACTACTCAATTTTAAAAAGCAAAACAACCTTGTTATTTAAAAAAAAAAAAAGTGGGGATGGAGAGGTGTCAAAAGATTGATGAAGGGGTGTCAAAAGGAAAATGTATGATTGGCTAATATGCACAATGAAAAAGTACTCAAAATCAGTCACCAAAAAAAAAAAAGTGCTCAAGCTAAAACACTACTACACACTCAACATCATGGCTAAGTAACCAACCAAGCAACCAACCCGAGGGCTCTAAGTGTTGAAAGGACGTGGGGCACCCGGAACTCACATATATGACTGTGGTTGTGTAAAGTGACACAACCACTCTGGAAATCGGTCACTTTCTTGTAAATTTAAATATGCACCTTCCCTATAACCAGCCAAGTCCACATGTAGGTAAAAACCTACATCCATAAAAACGTCTGTACAGGAACATTTATAGACATTTATTCGTAACTGACAAACACTGGAAACAATCCCAAAGTCTATCAACAGGAAACGAAAGCAAACTATGTCCATACGATACAACACGACTGAGCAGTAAGACAGGACAAGCAACTGATACACCAACAACATGGATGAACCTGTGCAACCTGCACTAAGTCAGAGACAAAACAGGACACACTGCACACTACCATTTATACGAC